GTGAAACAAATAGGCAGGAAGAAATGGAGATGGATTGGCTGGTCATACTCTGAGGAAACCATCAAGTGACATCACTAGACAAGCCATTGCACCAGTTGAATCTGGCCGAAAAGGAAGCGGCGAGTTGGTCGTCAGTGCAAGGGTGAGGGTGACTTGGAGGAGGTCATGTGAAGAGGAGATGAAAGCGTGTGGGCAGACTTGGAGCCAGGTGAAGACGACTCTAGCAGAGAACCGAACGCAATGGAGACGTGTGACTGAAGCCCTATGTTTCTCTAGGAATTAAAGGAAATAATAATAATAATAGACTATTCAGACAATGAGAACAAATCTGATGACTTATGAATCCTGAGTTCTGTCAATTTTCCTATTTATATCATCACTGAAACCATTAGTAGCCAACTTCACTCGTGATTATCTGTCCTAACATCCGACCTGATGATGGACCGTCACTGGTCGTCATTGTCTTATGTTGAATCCTTTTGTGAAATGTTGGATATATTCTATTCCAAATCGGAACGAAACAGCTGTCTTGTACTTGATATGTAGTCACGTGATGTCTACTTTGTTTGAACAGTCTGGTATATTTTACTATGTGTATATTGATCGTCATTCCATGATAACTCACAATATGTTTTGTCTGTCCATTAACTAAATAAACAATTTTCTATAGTTTGGTTTGTAAGGGTTAGTTTTGTTTTTACGAGTTGATCACGGAACCATTGAACCCCAGTGGGTGCGTACTGCCGATGATTCCCAAACTAGGATGAAACAGCCGGCTGTCCAGCACTCCCTGTGGCTGGTTTTCAATGGTTCTCTAGCTGATATCAATCCGTGATGAACTCGTATAAATATATAATGTATGACCTTTGTCACATGACATTACAACCAATCAGAATCCAGTAGTGGTAAGAAAAACTACTCATCCATCTTATTGGTTGATGTGTGTTAGTTATTTTCATATATACTCTTGTATTGTACAGTTAATTCACACTTTCGTACACTTTTCCTACTTTGGTACTTTTCCCCTCACACTCTTGTGTGACAGCTAATTTTCGTTGTTGAAACATACACGTATCCATTCGTGAACGTGGTGGTCTTCTGATTTTCCTTTTCGCGTCAGGACAAATCAACTACTCAGCGATACCAATCTGTACGTTATCGCCCGTACGTCATATCTCATTAGCGCATATTTACACTCGGTCACACCCTAATAATATTGGCAACGATATCATAACATATTGGCAACGAGTTCATAACAGTACTCCCTAGTTTTTTAATACTTGTCTCATGGATATAAGCATAAAACTTGCTTTGATAAATCACACAGTGGTGTTATACAGTAATATTAACTGATGACTACGTTTCGAGCACAAATTATTACTGCTCATAATCTCATATCAAGTCACTTACTCACACAACGTTTTACTTCATTTATATACATTAGTGAAAATTCGGTTGGTTTTCGACATAGAACTTTGCACATATGTGCGGCAGTACAAGTCGCCACACTCCATGTAGCACACAAAGCAAGAGAAGAAAGTAGCAGAAATGCATATTAGAGACAGTAAACAGAGGTGTGAGACAAAGGAATAGTAATAACGAAGAACAAAACAGTTTCATTGAAAATTATAAGTCACAAGGAGTGGATGCATCTTCGCCACTGAGAACGATTTTGAGCCGTATGACCAATTGTTTCCAACCATTGGTTTTTACCGTCCCGAGGACCCCAACTAGTCAGGAAGTCTACACCTTCCTAGGTGGCTAGCTTAAACTAACTGTTGTAGATTTCATTGACTGGTGACATGTTTTGGTTTGACCGCCAGCTAGCTCTTTTCCAGCCTAACCCTATGTCAGCTAACATTGCCCGTCGAGGAAGGCGATGACTAGGCATACGTAACACATGTCCTAACCATCTCAGTCGATGTAATTTCACAGTCTCGTCTATTGATTTCCCCACCTTACCTAGCACTCGACGCCTAACCTCAATATTGCTCACCTTATTATCACCACTTCACACGGGAGATAGAAAGCAGGCACCTATGATCGAAGACAGCTAATCTTTTCATGTCTTCCGCTTTCAATGGCCACGTCTCACAGTTAGTGAAAATTGATGATTAGACACTTGAATAAAAATCAATATACGGTAAAGTACATTCAGAAATAGTATTAATATTATCAGTAAAATACAATAGGATGGGAAATAAGACGAGTGTTTTTATAGTCAAAATGAGTAACTTGTTAGAATGTTATAATGTATGTGAATTGAATACACATTTTAACGTTATTTATTTTCCTTTGATTTGACTCGTGGGAATAAGATCTTCCATATCTGTGGTATTTGCGTTGGATGTAGACTCGATGAACCAGGCAGGATTCAGTAATCAACCTCTCTCTCCATCTACCTATATTACTTTTTAGAATTTTGACTGTCTCCCACCCACCCTATTGTGTGTGGTTGTGTGTTAATGCATGCAGTACGATTGTCTAATTGATGTTGAGGCTTATGATGTTACTCGAATCTCATACTATTATTATTATTATTGTTCCCTTGGGTTCCTAGTGGAACATAGGGCTTCAACTACACGTCTCCACTTGTTTCTTTCTTCTGCTGTACTTTTCACCTGCATCCATGTTTGTCCATACTGTTTCAACTCTTCTTCACACGATCTCCTCCATGTCACTCTTGGACGTCCCACTCGCCACTTCCCTTTCGGGTTCCACTCGAGCGATGGCCTGACGCGCGATGTCACCCAACGGCCTCCTCAGCCAGTGAGTGTCCAATCCATCTCCACTTTCTCCTGCATATTTGTTTGGCGATTGGTTCTTGTTTTGTTTGTTCCCATAGTTTCTTGTTGGTGATTCTTTCCGGCCATCTGATCTTGAGTGTAGAACGAAGACAGCTGTTGATAAAGGTCTGCAACAGGCTGTTGGAAATATTCTTTGTGACCCGCCCAATCGCTGCTGATCCGTATAGAAGAACTGACTTGACGTTTGTATTGAAAATCGGAATTTTGTTGTTGATGCAGGCTGAGTGACGAAGATTTCCAGATTGGTTTCAGGTTGATGAATGTGTTTCTCGCCTTCCCGATTCTCGATTTGACATCCTCGCCCGTTCCACCTGCCTGTAGTTGAGACAATGCTCTCATACTATAGTTATCCTAATTGTTTCGTTTATTGTGATGAAGATAGTGGTCTACTCAAATCATTGAGCTACCCGAATGCTTTTGTCTATCAAAATGCTTCATTTTTACTCCATTACAAATTGTTCTAATCTCTCTCTTGTAATCACGACAATGAATCGCAATCTATGCTCGCACACGATTTCAACACAACTTTCTATCTATCTGTCTATCTATCGGTAGGAGTTTTCGAAGGAAATTGTAATAATAATAATAATCTACTTTATTCGAAAACAGACAGTACTTATAATACAGAATGGAATTCTCAGCATTTGTCACAATATTGCATCTGATTTACTTAAAATATAAATAAAATTTAAAATTAAAACAACATTTAACCAGAGGAATTTGAAGTACATTATTTGAAGTACGAAATTAGAATATTCAATGTGATAATGCTAATAACAGTGGGTTTGTTTCAAACAGTATCGTCGACTCAGTTTGGAAATTTTAGCATGTCATAGATTACTGGACCTAATGTTCTGTTGATGTAGTATGGTGAGGGGAAATAAAAAATTAACAGTTATAACACAGCTTAAATCATGTTCACACTTATGAAAAAAATAAACAAATAAAAAAAAATTGAGAGGATTATAAATATAAGAAGTACAATAACAATAAAGGTTGATGTTGTAAGGGTGGAGGAAATGGTTTATTTAGTAGTGCAAAGAAGGTTAGTTAGTTCATGCCTAACACTATTTTCATCACATAAAGTACGTGCCAAATATGGTATAGTGGAATTTTTATACTTAGACGTACGTGCATAAAGTCTTCTGAAAAGACTTCTTGTTTTACCTGAGGAGACACAAGGTTGGAGCTGCGGGTAGAGTGGGTGCTCAGAGTCTGACAAAATTCCTTTAGCGAATTTGTTGCATGACATCAAGTGCCTATCAGTGACAATGTCAACGATATGGCCCAATTGGATACCACTCGTCCTACTGACAGTCCTCAGACTTCTACGAAGTATGACATAGTCCTTTTTAAGCAATCCAGGAAAGAATAAGGGTGAACAGTAAAGAAGAATAGGTGAAATACACGAGTTGATAGACTGTAAGAGGGGTGGTTGAGTTATGCCTGAATGCCTTAACTTCTTGATGTAAAAAGTCAAACGAAATATTCTTTTAGAAATCGCTAAGACATGAGAGGACAAGGATAGGTCAGAAGAGAGAATTAAACCAAGATACTTAACTTCAGACTTGGTTTCTATATCAGTATCATCGATTTTGCAAGGGCCATAGGAACCAACGGCTTCATTTAACTTTCGTTTACATCGGAAACTGAAATTAACAGTCTGACATTTGGAAGGATTTAGTTTAAGGCCATTAGACGAAGACCATTTGCTAATTTCTGATAGAAAGTTGTTAATCTTAATACAGTCAAACTGAGAGTTAACAGACATTGAAATAGTTAGATCATCGGCATACTTAACAAAGTTCATTTCATCGGAGTGAGGCAAGTCATGCAAGAAGAAAGAAAACAGAAAAGGAGAAAGGACAGCACCTTGAGGGACACCAGCCTCAGTAAGCAATATTGTTGAGTAGCACACTTCAGATGGAACAATATTGCTTCAGGTGATGTAATATCGATTATTGGATTAATTTGAAGATTTTATACAAGAGGAGAGGGTGGGGGTGGGTGGGGGAACGCGAAAAATACTTTGCACTGGAACTCGCTGAAAATCCTGTATTATGTATAAACGCATTTTTATCCAGGATAAAGCTGCTATTATGTGTTTATTTATATCAATTTCTTTCAATATTGATTATTTTCTCAAGAGTATAGTAATGCATTCATCCTCATTTTCATTGATTTTTCTATTAGCTATTGATCAGAAAGTATTGGATACACAACAAGCTGTCGGTTGTCCATATATAGTGGATATCAGTTCTTCATTCCCATGGATTCCACCAGCTGTACCAAATCATATCAGTGAAGAATTATCCCAGTTACACGGTGCACCATTTATATGGTTTGCTGGTCAACTGGCTAGTTATTTAATGCGTCCAAAATTTGATATAAGCAATGAAATGAAAATATTTAACAATCGTTCTGAATCACCTGTTGTTGGCATACATGTTCGTCGGACTGATAAGGTGAGCGACAGAATTCGACAACTTTTTTAACAGTTAATTTACAAACTACTTAACTGCTCTGTTTAAGTAGTTTAAGTGTTGATAGGTTCCGAAGCTATGATTGATTGATTATATAACTCTTTATTTCTATTAGATTATGTTCTCCAATGGAAGTCATCGAAAGGAGGATAGTCAATAAATTGTTATTATTGTGATTACTATTCATTACTTGTATACCGAATGGAGAGGCGTGACATCCGACTATCAACCAAGGGACGTGTGTACTGCTCAGCAGTTCGCTCCGTCCTTCTCTATGGCTCTGAAACATGGCCAATACGAGTTGAAGACATGAAAAGGTTGTCTGTTTTTGATCATAGATGTCTACGATCTCTTTCTCACGTTAGGTGGTATAATAAGTTAAGCAATGTTGACGTTAGGCGTAGAGTGTTGGGCAAAGAGGGGAAAATCAATCGATGAGGCTATAAAGTTACATAGATTGAGATGGCTAGGTCACGTGCTGCGCATGCCTAACCATCGCCTCCCCCGACGGACGGGCATTACTAGCTGATATAGGTGCAGGTTGGAAAAGAGTAAGTGTTGGCCAAACAAAAACATGGCCTCGTCAATCCATGAAATGCTTGACAGTTAAACTGAGTCAGGTAGGGAGAGAGATGCAGACTTCCGGGTTGGGGCCCGCCCTCGGGACTCTAAGAATCAATGGCTGGAGACAATAGGTGACATGGCTCAAAATCGTTGTCAATGGCTTACGCAGATGTATTCAGTCTCTGTAATCTTTCATATTCCTTTCTACCATTACTCATTCTGTTTCACTCTTATACTTGTCAAAACTCTATTGATTCTCTTCACTCATCTTCTTGTCTACCTTTGTGTGGTATTTGGAACGTGGCAACTCGAACTGCTGCACTTCGGTGCCAAGTTCTATGTTGAATCCAGACAGAGTGGAAAATATGGCTTCATGACCAAATGTCCGTCTGACATTCTCTTCTCTGTCGTCCTCTTTAGCTGGATCCGCAATTTCGCATAAGCTCTCATCTCCTCTTCATACGATCTTCTTGGTGTCACTGCCTCAACGACGCCAATCTTGTCGTTTTCTAATAGTGTTCCACTCTAAGGTCTACGGTGTGAGATGTCACTCAACAGTAGTATCTTCAGCTTGTGTCCAATTCATCATTCATTTTCTTCGTCAGCAGCATATAGGCGGATTGACTATAACTTGATGTTGGTGGTGAAGATCCCGATCTTGTTTCTTATGCTGAGTGCAACAGATTTCTACGCTGATTTCAGATTAATGAGGGTCTGTTTTTGATTGAACACTAGTCAGTAACTAGTGTAATGCGTGTAGTCCTATCTTCGGTGCAGACTGAATTCTATCAGTCATGTTTGCAATGTGGCCACCATGCTAGGTGGCTCGCCAAGGGACATCAGTTCCTTCAAGTTTGCAGATACGCCTTGCTGATAAGTACCAACTAGCACGAAACTTAGGTCAAGCAGGGCTTCCTGTGGCCGATTGCCTCCAAGCATCTAATACCAATAATGAGGGTCTGTTTTGCTTTTCTCAATCTCTCAGTTTTGACTTTGACATATTCATCCGTGTACCACCGCCGCCACACAGCTGAAACGATACTGCGTGGATAAGTGAAAAAAACTGACTTGCCTCAAACTTGGTGATTATTTTTGTTGGTTGGGAAGTTTTTTTTGTTAATTACCTCTGTGAAATTCCTATCACTTTCCACTGGATCCATGACTGCCGGCATGCTTTGATTTCCTCATCACATGATCTTCTTCATGTCATCTGGCACAGAGCTTTTGACTTGAAATTTGATCCAATAGGCTATAGAGCAGTGTCAGAAGCTACGTCCCCATGGTTTCCCATAACATGTTCACATACCAGTTAATCCTTTGAGATTATGGAGCCTAGGTGGTAAACCATAGGTTTGGAATCAGGATGTTTTTAGCCCTTCTAGGTAGACGTTTATGTCCGCCAGTTTGGTCAGATGTTCTTATTGTCCCTTTTACTTTTGTGAGTAATATACCGTCAGTATGAAGGAAAAGAATGGGACCTATCTGACAGAGGCTATGAACCTGTGGCCACATGAAAGCATTTCGAAAGAAAGACTCACCTCGTCTCCACCCTCGAGGCGGTGACAAGCATTTGTGCGTCGGTAGCACAGCGGTTATGACTCTCGCCGATCATGCACATGGTCCGGGGTTCAATCCCCTGCCGACGCACACCTGATATCTATGGTCGGCCTGCAAAATTTGGGCTACCGATATCATATGCTGAAAATTCCATACTTGTACCAAAAATACTGTGTGGTTTCAAGCTATAATCAAGAAAAAAGTCTATCCACCCATAGCCGTACCGGGTCGTTTATGGGGGGGGGGGGAGAGAATGTCAAGTAGTGACAAGGGTAAGTCATTTAGAAGATTTAAAACTCGCATCAAGTGGGCTGGTTTGTACATGATTTATATATTTGGACAGTATTCACTGAAATAGGTTAATGCTAGAGAAGAGTATGGTGTCAAAAAACTGGCATATAGAAGTAATTCTCACAGTCTTCGTTTAATATTCTAGTCCGTATAGGGATGTATATAGCTTGTTTGCTTACGATCACTAATTTAAAGCAAGATTCTCTCTCTTGATCTATTCGGTTCACAGTTTCTCTCATGCATGAGCACCTAAATTATAATGGCTGTCAGAACTTGAAGAAAAATGAACAAATTGTCATCCAAACATCTGAACAACTCCATATACTTCCTAATTAAAATCGCTTACTGTAAGCGCAATATCGCTTGAAATTAAGTCACGCATAGATAAAGGCTATCCCGGTCCAGAACAAACAAGAAGCCGGTCACTGTTTCTACGATACTATTAATAAACAAATCAATAATTATATATACAACAAACCTTAACGGTTTCAAGAGTACAAAACACAACGCTTAACAGAAAGCAAGGTACCGCTATCAGAGCGGAATAACGTTAAAGCCGAAAGTGCGAACTAGCCGGAATCAGACACAACCGTTCAGGTAGGCAGTCAGTAGAAGAATGAACCCAAGTAAGGCAGGGCATAGAACAGAGAGCGGTTAAGAGATAGACAGAGCATGGGCACAAAGATAGAATTTAATTGGCTACTTAACCAGGTAGGCTGATACAGATGAAGATCAATAAATAAGATAAACTCGACAGAATAGTACAAAGTAAGACATGGGTCAGCAAAAATGACAGTTCACAAAATACTCTGATTGGGTCATGAGTTCAACTGTCTGACTAAACGGATCGATGTAAAAAACCCACACAAACAGTTCATTAAACAAGGGGGGATAAACACGTTAGGTATGGATAATTGGGTTGCAACAATGCTAGGCTGATCCGGGACAGGTTGACTTGATTCAAGGATGGGAATTGAATTGATCTTACACTTACATTATCTTCTATGTATTAGATACACAGAAATATCTTTATGTTAGTTTGGTTGACAGTAACTAACACTGAAGTCTAGAATGTGTATGTCATCCTATTTGTGGACTGTTAACTGGTTGTACTCACTACCCAGTAAGCGTGGTGATTATTTCCCCACTGGTACTCGAAACTAGCATCCATCATTCCAAACAGTCTTAACCACTAAGCGACATCAGTTAAAGTACCACTAGGAGGGAGGCTAGGGAGTAGTGGACGTCTGTTTTGTCCTAGTTTGGGGATCTCCAGCAGTACGTACCCACTGGGGTGAGAACCCAGGGACCTCCTGGTTTCAGCTAGCTACTAGGATCTGATCAAATATCTCATGAATTCCAACTTGTACCAATTCGCGATGTATATTATTTAAATGCATATATATCTTTTCTGTTATGTTTTCTTCATACCATAGATCAATACAGAAGCATCATTTCACAGTTTAGAACAATACATGAAAGAAGTTGAACGTTATTTTCAATTTATAGACGCCAGACGTCAAATGATGTCTAGAACTGAAGTAAGTAGTTTTTTATCTTTAACATTTTCCTTATCGTCAAAGTGTCAAAGAATTTAATTTGTTTATATATTTCACTTATTTTGCCTGACAATAGTCTGTAATCTTAATCGTATCCACCCACACTAAGTCTGCTGTTATTAGTTGTTGAGTTCGTTTTTGTTCTTGTTCTTTTCTCATGACCAAGATTTGGGACGTAAACATTGACGTGAATTGCTGTCTACCAATTTTGGCTAGCAGACAGCTCTCACCACAATGCCACCACCAAACACGGGAGATAGAACGCAGACACCTATGATCAAAGACAGCTGGTCTTTTCGTACCTACCACTTTCAATGGCCATGCCCCACAGGCAGCCATGAGTGAGGACGGAACGAGTTGCTGAGCAGTACACACGCCCTTTGGTCGATAGCCAGCCGAATATCACGTCTACTAAACCAGAGATGGTGTAAGTTAGCATATGCTAAACGATCCTTATGTATCCGTGCTGAGTTTTCGTCAGTAATCAACCCGTTGAGGCTGATGGAACTTCCCAAATAAGTGAAGTGGTCAACACGCTCTACCACTGCACACTCCCTAACTCTAAGCTAGGAGTCAACGTAATCCAGTCCTGTAGCAATCATCATATTACTTTTGACAGGAGCGTGTGATTCGTATGCCAAATATTCAAAGATTGCTGGCTTTCAAGGTGTTCATAAGACTCTGCATTCTGTCAACTTCTTCACCTAGGAGGCAAGACTGCATCATCCGTAAATACTAAGTTAACGATATTATTCCCTGGTAACAAGTCGATCCTTGAGTTGCTGAATTGGGATAGTTTTTTTTTCCAAGCTGTATGTTCATAAAGTTCTCACTGACTTCAAAGATAAATTTCACTTACAAATGAATGAAGTATTGAAAACTCGAGAACACTGAAGTACTGTATTTGTCCTTGTGTTTGAGGCTGTTCAACGCTATCCACCTATACAATCCATCAGTATTCGAACTCAGAAGTTAAAAATTACGAAATGAGCATTTTATGCAGTCGCATTCTTCGTTTAGTTCTTTCGTCTTATCGTTATGTGTCTTTTTCTGTGTTTACTTTACTTACTTGACCAACACTATATATCACCTGAAGTCCTAAATTTATATTATTCACCTACTTGTCTATTTCACTGCTATCATCATTATCATTACCATTCATTAGTGTCTGTCGGGACCTTTATCGACAGCTGTCTTCGTTCTATACTGAAGATCAGATGGCCGGAAAGAATCACCAACAAGAAACTATGGGAACAAACAAAATAAGAACCAATCGTCCAACAAATATGCAGGAGAAAGTGGAGATGGATTGGACACTCACTGGCTTAGGAGGCCACTGGGTGATATCGCGCGTCAAGCCCTCGAGTGGAATTAGAAAGGGAAGCGGCGAGTGGGACGTCCAAGGGTGACATGGAGGAGATTGTGTGAAGAGGAGTTGAAACAGTATGGATTAACATGGATGTAGGTGAAAAGTACAACAGAAGACAGAAGCAGGTGGAGACGTGTAGTTGAAGCCCTATGTTCCACTAGGAATCCAAGGGAACAATAATAATAATAATAATAAAAGTGTCTGTCGGAGTGAAACATGACACCTCTGAAGTGTCTCCATTCCACTCAGTTTTCTCTGTCCTATCCACTGTCAACCGGATTCACCACTGCCTGCAAAGTTTTATTTCTATTTCACAGTATTTTCTTCATGTTCCTCAACGGATACTCAACCTATCTGAGTTTCACTGAATGATATATTTGTCTGATGTCGCCACCGCGTATGACCAGCCAGTCTTCTGATCTTCAGTATCGAGTACACAAGGCATTATGTTGATGAAATTTGTCTACAGTAGGCTGTTTCAAATACTTTAGACACATAGAAGCACACACATTATAGCGAGAAAAGCGAAGAGAGAGGTGATCAACGTATGACATGACGTGGCATCGTCGGATGACGGATATTTGGTTGGTGCGTTACAACTCCCTGGTTGGAGTCCGAGAGACAGTGGGCTTGAAACGTTATCGAATATGACTAAGAATTGTAATCATCAATGGCGAACCTCTTGGTGCAATTTTATTCTTTCTTCCCTTTCCAGCCAAGTGAGGGCTTACAGCGAGTTGTCATACGAAGTGGTGACGACTAGTGGCGTCCGTCAAGGATGCCCATTATCCCCATTTCTATTCAACCTCATCATAGACGTACTAATGGACTTAACTCTAACACGCTTCAGCGACTCAGGGATCGACTTGCTACCAGGGAATAATCTCGTTGACTTAGAATATGCAGACGATGTCGTCCTTCTAGGTGAGGACGCTGACAAAATAGAGCAGAGTCTTCTGAACACCTTGAGCTGCAATCTACGAATGTTTGGCATGCGATTCGCCCTGTAAAATGTAAGATGATGCTGCAGGATTGGACTTCACCGACCTCTAGATTAGAAACAGGAAGTCAAGTGGTAGAGCACGTTGACCGCTTCACGTATTTGGGAAGTACCATCAGCCCCAACGGGTTGGTCTCTGACGAAATCTCAGCACGAATACAGAGGGTTAGGTTCGCATATGCCAGTTTACGCCGTCTCTGGCGTAGACGTGATATCCGGCTGGCTGTCGACCAAACGGCGTGTGTACTGCTCATCAGTCCGCTCCGTTCTCTTTTATGGCTGTGAGCGAGACCTGGCCATTGAGAGCAGAAGACATGAAAAGATTAGCTGTCTTCGATCATAGGTGTCTGCGTTCTACCTCCCGTGTGAAGTGGTGGTATAATAAGGTGAGCAATATTGATGTTAGGCGTCGAGTGCTAGGTAGGTGGGAGGGGAAACCAATCGACGAGACTGTGAAATTACATCGACTGAGATGGTTAGGACATGTGTTACGTATGCCTAGTCATCGCCTTCTTCGACAATGGGTAATGTTAGCTGATAAAGGGTCAGGCTGGAGAAGAGCTAGCGGCGGTCAAACGAAAACATGTCACCAGTCAATGAAATTTAGAACAGTTAGTTTCAGCCACGTAGGAAGGTGTAGACTTCTTGGCTGGTTGGGGTCTTCGGGACGGTAAAAACCAATGGTTGGAAACAATCGATGATATGGCTCAAAATCGTTCTCAATGGCTGTCGCAGATGCATCCACTTTTTGTGACTTATGATTTCCAATGAAACTGTTTTGTTCTTCGTTATTACTATTCCTTTGTCTCACACCTCTGTTTACTGTCTATATTATGCATTTCTCCTACTTTCTTCTGTTGCTTTGTGTGCTACAAGGAGGGAGTGTGTCGACTTGAACTGCCGCACATATGTGTAAAGTTCTATGTCGAAAACCGACCGACCGACCATCAGTTAATATTACTGTACAACACTGTGTGATTTATCAAAACAAGTTTTATGCTTATATCCATGAGACAAGTATTAAAAAACTAGGGAGTACTGTTATGAACTCGTCATATGTTGTTTTCTTCTTATTATTATTGTGTGGCGCATCTTCTTGGTGCCATATTGCACCAAACTTTTTGTGTTGAACTAAATAATAGTAATAATAACATGATAGAGCTATTGAAGGTATTCTTATCAGTAGAAATTCATAATAATTAGACTAATTATATATGTAATAGATAAGGGTGGAATTCGCATTATTGTGTTGTTGTTGTTGTTGGTGGTGGTGGTGGTCACTCAATGGTATATCTGAATATTTTTATGCCTTGAATCTTGATGTGCGTCTATGGGGGAACAGCGATGGAATGCTTGCCAACCACGCCCCATGTGGTCCGGGGTTCGATCCTCGGCAGACACCGCATTCCTTCGCTTCGCTAATCCAGTATTTTACCGGTAAAGAGGGGAAGGTTGGGTATGAGGCCAGCAACACCATCCCATAAAAATAAATACGACTGCTACTGAAACTTGAGGTGTCGCTTGAAGCCTCCTATGTATGTTCCACTGGGAACATGAAGGAATAAAATATTGAAAAAAAATTGAATCCTGATACTCTGTGAATTTGTCTTCTTTTAAGCTACATTCATCATTTTGTTAAGTTAACATTAACTTACCGAATAAAAAGTTTACGATAAATTTTTTCTCTAATGAATAATAGTTCAGTGATAACCTGGTTGTGTGTGTGTGTGTCGTAAACCCCCGCCGCCCCTCAGCTTGCAGAGAGCGAGACTAACTAACTAACTAAAGGTTTGGAGGGTGTTTTTTGAAATCTTTTAATAAGTTAGATATTCATTTCATCCTCGAACATCACCAATTTATTTCACGTGTCAGACCTTCTATTATGGTTCAGAGACTTGATACATCACCAAGAGAGGAATCTCCAACAAGCTACTGAAGACTTTTGTTAACAGCTCCCCCCCCACTTTCGCTCCATACTGATGAAGATAAGATCAGATGGCCATAAAAGATTAATTATTATTGTTTCCTTTAATTCCTAGAGGAACATAGGGCTTCAGGCAACCACGTCTCCATTGCGTTCGGTTCTCTGCTAGAGTCTTCACCTGGCTCCAAGTCTGCCCACACGTTTTCATCTCCTCTTCACATCACTTTCTCCTGCCTGTCACCCTTGCACTGACGACCTACTCGCCGCTTCCCATCCGGTAGGGTTCCACTCGAGCAATGGCTTGTCTAGTGATGTCACTTGATGACTTGTTTCCTCAGAATATGGCCAGCCAATCCATCTCCATTTATTCCTGCATATTTGTTTCACAATCGATTCCTGCTGGGTTGGTTCGCTCATTGCCAGAGATCCCTCCCTGTAGCTGATCTTTTCTGGCCGGTCATCTGATCTTGAGTGGTATTGAGCGAAGACAACTGTTAATGAAGGTGTGTAGTTTGTTTGAGATGCTCTTTATGACGCGCAGTGCAAATCTCTGATCCGTATAGCAAGTAGCACTGACTGACTTCACATTGGAGTTGAAAATCCGGACCTTATTTTTGATACTGAGTGCTGTTGACCTCCTCCACACAGGCTTGAGAGTAGTGAAAGATTAATATCAAGAAACTCTAAGTGGAAATGAATCAACCAAGAACTTGTTGCCACCCACCAAAATATACAAGAGGAAATAGAGACGAATCGGATACACACTGAGGAAATCGTGGGGTAACATTACACTGAAGGTCCTCAAGTGAACATTGGCTTCAGCATCTGAGAGCAACATAGAGGAGATTGTGGGATGAAGAGCTGAAAGCCTATGGGCAATTGTGAAGGCAGCAAAACAGGACTGCAGACAACAGGATGAAATGGGTATGTTCCACTCGGAACCCAAGGGAATATTCTGACCGTCAATAATTGATGTTCTGTTTCTTTTTGAAGAAAAATCATTTGTCATTTTTTTTCGCTACAGGATTTCATCATGAGCTGACATCGGTTATAGAACCAGTGGGAAACCAGCTGGGAGTACTGGATATTGGATGTTTCGTCAGCCTAGTTTGGGACTCGTCATCGGTTTTGCATCCACATGGTTTCGAACTCTGGACCTTCTGGCTATAAGGCGAGCTCATAGACAATTAAGCCACTGGGACCAAAGACATTCGCTAGTGGTTGTATTATATAAGTATAAAACTTAGGCACTGTGGTGTAGAGTATAACTCCATTATGGATAAGATTTTATTTTGATAAATCACACAGTGTTGTTATGCAGTAATACAGTTAATATTACTGTATAACTCTGTGTGATTTATCGAAAAAATAAAATCTTATCTATAATGGGGTTGTGTTATATCGTGAATTGGCAGAAGTTGGAATTCATTGGCTGACCATTTAATCGGATCCCAGTGGCTTAATGGTCTACAAGCTCGTTCAAACCCTGGCAGTGGCTGCGTAATACTGAAGAGTCAGTCCCAAACTAGACTGACGGAACAGCTAGTTGTCTGACAGCACTCCCAGCTGGTTTTCCAATGGTCGGTCGGTCGGTCGGTTTTCGACATAGAACTTTGCACATATGTGCGGCACTTCAAGTCGCCACACTCCATGTAGCAAGAGAAGAAAGTAGAAGAAATGCATAATATAGACAGTAAACAGAGGTGTGAGACAAAGGAATAGTAATAACGAAGAACAAAACAGTTTCATTGGAAATCATAAGTCACAAGGAGTGGATTCATCTGCGCCAGCTATTGAGAACGATCACTTTGAGCCATGTCACCAATTGTTTCTAACCATTGGTTTTTACCGTCCCGAGGACCCCAAATGGTCAGGAAGTCTACACCTTCCTACGTGGCTTAGACTAACTGTTGTAGATTTCATTGATTGGTGCCATGTTTTGGTTTGACCACCATGTGCTAGCTCTTTTCCAGCCTGACCAATCCCGATGTCAGCTAACATTGCCTGTTGTCGAGGAAGGCGATGACTGGGCATACGTAACACATGTCCTTACCATCTCAGTCGATGTAATTTCACAGTCTCGTCGATTGGTTTCCCCTCCCACCTACCTAGCACTCGACGCCTAACATCAATATTGCTCACCTTATTATACCACCACTTCACACGGGAGGTAGAACGCAGACACCTATGATCGAAGACAGCTAATCTTTTCATGTCTTCTGCTCTCAATGGCCACGTCTCACCACCATAGAGAAGGACGGAGCGAACTGCTTAGCATTACACACGTCCCTTGGTTGATTGATAGCCGGATGTCACGCCTACGCCAGAGACGGTTTTAGTTAGCGAAAGCAGCCCGAGCTTTCTGGATCCGTGCTGTGATTTCGTCACCAATCAATCCGTTGATGCTGATACGACTTCCCAAATAGGTGAAGTGGTCAACATGTTCTATCACTTCACTCCCTATCACTAAGCTAGGAGTTGACGTAGTCCAGTCCTGTAGCAGCATCTTACATTTCACAGGGGCGAATCGCATGTCAAACATACGAAGATTGTTGCTCAAGGTGTTCAGTAGACTCTGCATTTTGTCAGAGTCCTCGCCTAGAAGGACTATATCGTCTGCATATTCTAAGTCAACGAGACTATTCACTGGTAGGAGGTCAATCCCTGAGTCGCTGAAGTGTGTCAGGGTTAAGTCCATTAGCACATACATCTATGATGAAGTTGAATAGGAATGGGGATAATGGTACTCTAACCAACCGATATCAGCTCATAATAATAAAATCGTGTAATCAATCAATCAATTCCCCTACAAATTTATACTTGAATATTTTTTTTTACTTCTTTTTCTTATAGGAATGGATAGACGATATCAAGTCACCATTTCACCAACGGGTTTATCGTCAATTGAAACCGGTTGAACGACGTGTTTACATTGCTACAGATGATCCGAGTGTTTTTGATGAAGCGAAATTAAAATATAAAAATTATACATTTTATGGTGATCGTAGACGTGCGAATTCAGCTGCTGTGTTTAAACGACATACTGATGATTCTGTTATGGGTGTTGTAATGGATATTTTAATCTTATCCAAAACTGATTATATTGTGTGTACATTTTCTTCACAGGTAAGATTGTTTCTTTTTTTTAAAAAAAATAATTTTAATACTCTATATTTTGAAGCTTTCATCGTCCCCCTTCAGTTCCGGTTTCAGTATAAAATGAACTAATTTGAATTCCATATTAGTTTGTTTATTAGGTATATCACACAGTGAAACAGTATTATTTACTGGATGACGTTTCGAACAAACTACGGCTGATGAAGTACGGGCACAATGTGCACTAACATTGTTCGAAACGTCATCCAGTAAATAATACTGTTTCACTTTGTGATATACCTAATAAACAAACTAATATGGAATTACTTACTACCACAGTGCCCAAGTTTTACACATATATTAATTTGAATTCCCCCTTCATGATTGATGATAAAATTGTGTTGTCTCCTGGCAACCATTTTCGTGACTGGTACATCTGATTTACATCTCTGTCACAATGGCGGAACTGACGAGGATATCAAAGCAAGAATCCGAAAAGCAAGACAAGCTTTCACTACTCTCAAGTCTGTGTGGAGGTCAACAGCACTCATCACTAAAAATAAGATCCGGATTTTCAACTCCAATATGAAGTCAGTGCTACTTGCTATACGGATCAGAGACTTGGCCAGCGCGTCATAAAGAGCATCTCAAACAAACTACAGACCTTAATTAACAGTTGTCTTCGCTCAATACCACTCAAGATCAGATGACCGGCCAGAAAAGATCAGCTACAGGGAGGGATCTCTGGCAATGAGCGAACCAACCCAGCAGGAATCGATTGTGAAACAAATATGCAGGAATAAATGGAGATGGATTGGCTGGCCATATTCTGAGGAAACAAGTCATCAAGTGACATCACTAGACAAGCCATTGCTCGAGTGGAACCCTACCGGATGGGAAGCGGCGAGTTGGTCGTCAGTGCAAGGGTGAGGGTGACTTGGAGGAGGTCATGTGAAGAGGAGATGAAAACGTGTGGGCAGACTTGGAGCCAGGTGAAGACTCTAGCGGAGAACCGAACGCAATGGAGACGCAAGGTTGAAGCCCTATGTTTCTCTAGGAATTAAAGGATACAATAATAATAACAATAATAATAATAATAATACCCAATGGCTGAAACTATACAAACTAAATATTCCCTGAATAGTAAGTACTTTATACTACCGATCGATTGGGATCATATATTGTGGTGTCTAAATAATCTCGATTTTCCGAGTAAACTTTGATGATGAAAACAATCCGCTCAAACTGTTTGTGAATTACAAACTGATTTGCATTCTTTTTCCAACAAAATAGAACCGAATTCTTATTTCATTATTCCATGCAAGAATTTCTAGGCACAAAGACTTGCCTTTAGCACTGAAATTTGTTCAAAGTAAAGATGCCGTCTGCTCCCGACACTCGGTTAAAGGCATCTGGGAAGCAACTTTAATATACGCTTTTGGAGCTGGAGTTACCGTGGCTTCTGGCACCAGATTTGCCCTCCAATTGGTCCTGGTTAAAGGATTTAAATTGTACTCATTCGGATTAGGGAGCCTCAATTGAGTCCGGTATTCGTATTTTTCGTCAATACCTCCGCGTACCGTGAGTGGGTAATTTTCGCGCCTACTGCCGTCCTCATCGGAAAATAACCCTGATTATGTGTCACCCGTTATTTTCATGGTAGGCAGATCACCCACCAAAAAATTGGTAGGGCAGACATTTGAAAGATCCGTCGCCGACACAAGGCCGACTGCGATCATATAAGTTTTTCGATAGTCATCATAGAATTCAACAGATTTGCACTCTCTTTATGAATTTTATTTATAGCATCCCTGAGTTTGCTCTGCCTACATAGCCAGCTGGAAATCAGGTGTTTTCAACTGATTTATTTGTTCAAACTGATTCATGTTGAGTACACCGCTGATGAGCTCGGCTAAAACCAACCAAGCAAAACTGCCATTCGGAGTTTAGATCACAACTACTGATTTCAATCAGTCAGTAGTATATGCTTCTATGCGAAATTTAATTCAAATTTTAAGTATTATATAACAGGTATTCTGATTCATTTCGATATTGATTTCATCGTTAAACTGACATCATCGGAATAATCGAACTGAGGGCTTCTTATTAGTTTCATTTATCCTGCTTCTCTGACGGGAGTTAGTTATGTTTGTTGCAAGGAAGCTAAGAGGATTACAAGTGTGTTTATTTTTCTTTTCTGAACGACAGTAGCAACAAAATGCCTCTGTTAAGCAGAATTTTAAGCTTCCTAGTATCCTGTCAATTAAATAAAGACTTCATATAGTACACTTGATTGGGTCCTACAAATACTTACTTGTAAAGCAGCTGACCAGTTAATTTAATTCAAGTATGTTAGTGTAATAATTAATTGTATTCTCTATGCTGGATACTTGATTGATCCACAACCGAAAACTCAGCGAGGCGTTTGGAGTAAACACAGGAGTCAGACAAGGGTGCTTATTATCACCAGTAATATTCCTAATTGTCAGACAGTGGGAAACGAGAAGACAGGGATATCCTGGACCGACGTGAAGAATCTAGAAGACCTGGATTTCGCGGATGACTGATGTTTGATGTCACAGAAAATCGAAGAATTACAAGCGAAAACCGACAAACTGGTCGAACAAGCAGCAAAGACAGGACTCCCGGTAAACATAGACAAGACGGAGGTTATGAAAATAACCAACCACCACCACCAACAACAACAGCAGCAACATCCAGTGCCAATCACCATCAACGGGAGGGATTTGAAAGAGGTTACTTCATTCACTTATATAGGAAGCATTGTTTCAACTACAGGAGGAACAAATGAGGATGTCAAATCGAGAATCGGGAAGGCGAGAAACACATTCATCAACCTCAAACCAATCTGGAAATCTTCCTCAATCAACTCAGCATCAACAACAAAATTCGGATTTTCAATACAAACGTCAAGTCAGTCAGTTCTTCCATACGGATCAGCAGCGATTGGGCCGGTCACAAAGAATATTTATAACAGCCTGTTGCAGACCTTTATCAACAGCTGTCTTCGCTCTATACTGAAGATCAGATGGCCGCTGGAAAGAATCACCAACACGAAACTATGGGAACAAACAAAACAAGAACCAATCGCTCAACAAATATGCAGGAGAAAGTGGAGATGGATTGGACACTCGCTGAGGAGACCGCTGGGTGACATCGCGCGTCAGGCCAATGCTCGAGTGGAACCCGAAAGGGAAGTGGCGAGTGGGACGTCCAAGGGTGACATGGAGGAGATGGTGTGAAGGTTACATAGTGTGATGATCTGAAGCATTTTATTCACTTATTATTGTTATTATTAGTATTTTCTCATCTCTTCATTCATTCTTTATATTTCTCTGCAGGTATGTCGATTAGCCTATGAATTAATGCAATCGAATTATATTGAATTGGGTGATGCAAGTCAACAATTTCATTCACTTGACGATATTTATTATTTCGGTGGACAACAATCTGCACCGCATGAAGTAATTATACCAGATGGAAAAAATAATTTAAATCCTGGCGATTTAGTTCACTATCGTGGAAATCATTGGGATGGTTATGCTCAAGTTGAAAAAGTATCTACATCAAAGAAAATCATAGCACCAGCATTTAAATTTTATCCAAAGTTATTAACTGCGAATATGACTGGTGCACATTGAATTTATTGTATTTTATATTATTTACTTTTTTTACCAATGGTGTGGTAGTCAGTCAATCTTATCTGCCTGCCTGCCTCTCCTAGCCACTGGCATATCCTCTTCATTTCACTCGGCGGCGTCCTAAGTCGATGATCATTATCATCATCATCATCACCTTGAAACTTTTGGATCTATTCTTACTTACTTACCTACTTACTTCTTCTCTCTCTCCTTGTTGTTGTTGTGACAATGTCAAAGTGACACTTATTTCATATTCCACACCTTTTCAACCTCACTCTTTCTATGTCTTCATACTCAACGGGGAAAGTAAAGAGAGAGATATCCTGTATCTGCACACCTGCATCAGTGCAATTATATATATATATATATATTTCTTGCATTCTTTATCTTTTTTTATAAATACTATATTATGTATTTTTGAATATGTAGAGTGTAGTCATCAAAATGTGTGTTCATTTTGCGTGTATGTGTTTGTGTGTGTGCGTGTGTGTGTAGGGGGGTGGGTGGCGAAATAGCTTAACTGAGTCAAAAGCATCGCTGAATAAATTCCACTCCACTTAGTCTTTCTTCTTTACTAACTTTTAAGCCACCCTGGCAATGCAGCTGGTTGGTTGGGTCATAGTGGTATCATCATCATTATCATTATCATCAGATTTCGTACAATCCGTGTGTTGTTGCTGTTCATAAACGCGGATACCACTGGGTAACGCAGTTCCACTAACTGTCTATCTATCTATCTATCCATCTATCTACTTACCTATCTATCTGACTAAATTATCTTTACTACGCCTTCTTTATGGTGTCATTTGGTTTTGTATTTATCCGATATAATATAATAATAATTATTATTTTTATTATGATTCTTTATTCAAGTAAGTTTTTTTTATGTAAAGATTTGATTGTTTAAATGCTAGTCTGTCCTTTGATTTATATAATAATAATAATAATAATTTGCTTTATTCCAAAACAGTACTTGTGTTATACAGAATGGAATTCTCAGCATTTTTTTCTACTACATTATTGCATCCAGTTAGTACATTATCAATAAATAGAATTCTACATAGATTAAGGGTAATCTCAGTTAGTTTTGACAACAACATATTGGCATGTCGGTAGCAAAGCCAAAGTTGAACAGAGTGTTTCAAGGTGGTAGAAAAGTAGATGCTAGCATATTTACTGGTGTAAGCGGAAGAAAGAAACAAAGCACCACATAACGGAAAAAAAGAGAGAGAGAAAACGAGAGAGAGAAAAGGAAAAGAAAGAAATAAAATGTTGTACGTATACATGATATGAGCTGGAAAGACGAGGTCCAGTTGTTCTACTGACTATTTAATAAGTTATAGGTATCACGCCTAATGCTTTCTTTATCGCACGCACAGAACACGAGCTAAGTAGGGTATGGTTGAGTTTTTGTACTTGCTAGTGCGATCATATAGTTTTCTATATTGGCTTCTGGCTTTGCCTGATGAGATGCAAGGGGAGAGTTGTGAGTGAAGAGGGTGGTGTGAGTTAGATAAGATGGATTTGGCCCATTTTTCACATGAGTCCATGTGCCTGCCTGTCGACCAGAATATTAACAAGCTGGTTAAGTGGCACATTGCTTACCCTGCTGACAACCTTTAACATCCTACGTAATATGTTATAGTCTTTCTTCAGTAGCCCGGGAAAAACTAAGGGTGAGTAATGGGCAGGATGCAAGAGTTAACGAATCGTAAGAGTTAGGGTTGGGTTATTGCAGAATGTCCTAACCTCTTGATGTAGAAGGTAAGACGGAATATTTTCTTAGAAATCATCAAGATATGAAACGATCAAGAAAGATCAGTAGAAAGAATGACGCCTAGGTATTTAATTTCCGACTTGGTTTCTATTACAGTGCCAACTATGTTGTGTATGTTGTTTTTCTGTGCGTTGTGCTTGAGTTAATTTCGGTAAGTTTTCTTGTTTGTCTGTTTTGTCTTTTTTATACTTTTGTAATAACTTTTAACTTTACTTGACTTCAGTGTTTGCTTTTTCACGTGTTAACATTATTATTTTCTTTCTCTTTCTTGACCTTTTTGTGCTGGATTTTTCTTTTCGACGTATTTTGTGTTTGGCTTTGTGTGTGTGTGTGTATGTGTGTATGTGAATTTTCATTAATATTATGTCAAGTAATAAAAATGATAATTAATGAATAATATAAGAAAACAAAAATAACCGAAGCATTTTTGTTGTTGTTCTTGTTAAAACTTGGACACTAGTTATTATTATTGTTTCCTTTAATTCCTAGAAGAACATAGGGCTTCAGCCACGAACGTATCCATTGCGTTCGGTTCTCTGCTTGAGTCGTCTTCACCTGGCTCCAAGTCTGCCCACACGTTTTCATCTCCTCTTCACATGACCTCCTCCAAGTCACCCCACCCTCGCACTGACGACCAACTCTCCGCTTCCCATCCGGTAGGGTTCGACTCGAGCAATGGCTTGTCTAGTGATGTCACTTGATGGTTTGTTTCCTCAGAGTATGTCCAGTCAATCCATCTCCATTTCTTCCTGCCTATTTGTTTCGCAATCGGTTCCTGCTGTGTTGGTTCGCTCATTGCCAGACATCCCTCCCTGTTGCTGATCTTTTCTGGCCGGCCATCTGATCTTGAGCAAAGTATTGAGCGAAGACAGCTAGCTGTTAATGAAGGTCTGTAGTTTGTTTGAGATGCTCTTTATGACGCGCAGTGCAAGTCTCTGATCCGTATAGCAAGTAGCACTGACTGACTTCACATTGGAGTTGAAAATCCGGATCTTATTTTTTCATGCTGAGTGCTGTTGACCTCCACACAGACTTGAGAGTAGTGAAAGCTTGTCTTGCTTTCCCAATCCTTGCTTTGATATCCTCGTCAGTTCCGTCCGCCTGTAGTTGAAACGATGCTTCCCAGGTAGGTAGGTAAAAGAGGTTGTTTCTTTCAGGTTCCTTCCATTTATGCTGATTGTTGTCTGTTGTTGTTGTTGGTGTCCAGGAATCTTCATCACCTCTGGACACTATGGTAGAGTATAATTTTATTATGCATAGAATTTGATTTTCATTATAAAGTTTCACTGTGCGTCGGTGGCACGGCACACCGGTAGAATGCTCATCGACCACGCCCCATGTGGTCCGGGGTTTGATCCCTGGCCGATGCTGCACTCCTTTACCTGCCAAAGCCAGTAAGTACTACGACTGGTATAAAAAGGGAAGGTTGGGCATGAGGCTAGCAACCTCATCCCGTAAAAAATAAATACGACTGCTACCGAAACTTCAGAACTGTCGCTTGAAGCCTCCTATGTATGTTTCACTGGGAACATAAAGGAATAAATAAAAAGAGTTTCACAGTGTTATACAGTAATATTTATTGATGACCACGTTTCGAGCACAATTTATTACTGCTCACACAACTTTTCAGCTTCGTTAATATGGTTCCTTGTATTTCTCATCTTTTCATTTGATTGGTAGTAGTATTCTCCATATTTTTGGTATGAGTGATGAGTTATACCCATTGTATGTGTTGGGTGTAGACTTGATGAACAAGGATTCAGTAATCAACCTCTCTCTCTTCTCCACCTACCTATAGCACTTCTTAGAATTCTAACCCTCTCCCACCCGCCCTATTGTGTGTTAATGCATGCAGTGCAATTGCTGAGCTTTTTTCTGAAGTACATATCTTCTCTGAGTCAATCATTCTAACTATAGCTAAATTCTTATGTTCCGACAATCTGACTACCCCCTATCTACTAGTTTGACCCATGTAGTTGACTTACCTCAACAGTCACTGCAAGGTATTTTGTAAATTATATTATTTTGTTTAATTGGGTCAACCGATAGGGTCCTTTAACCTACAGAGCTTATCCCTGTCTGAGTGAGTTTGTAGATTTAAATGCCACTCTAGTTACTGCTTTATTAAGAATCCTACATAGGAAGGGTCTCAGATGTCTCCTCCTTATGTGGTAAAACTACTGTAGATGCCTTATATTCTCTCTCTTATTTTATGTTATCAGCTGTCCAGTACTCCAGTGCTGGTTTTCAATGGTTCTCTAACTGATATCAACTCGTAAAACCAAAACTAATTTCTTACAAACCAACTACAGAAAATTATTAACTATTTTCCCAATTTTTTTTATTTTGACCTTTTCTGATCTTCTTAATGAATTTTATAGGATAGTTAGTTATTTAACACCAACGCTTCTTCTGTCTGTTTCATGATCAACGCAAACACCAGAGATATGGAATATATTATTAATAGTCAAATCAGACGATTATAAATAGTGTTAAAGTGTATTTCAATTCACATTATAACATTCTAACAAGTTACTTATTTATTTTACTATAAAAAACAAACATCGTATTTCCTATCTTATTGACTAATAACACTCGTCTTATTCCCCATCCTATTGTATTTTATTGACAACACTAATATTGTTCCCTATTGTACTTTATCTTCCTTTCTGTTTCATACATGTCTTATATTGATTTTATTCAAATAATCTAATCAACTTTTGCTCATTATTATAAGAATAAAACTTGTGCATTGTGGTAGAGTATAATTCCATTATGGATAAAATTTATTTTGATTAAGTCATACAGTGATTGGACACTAGTGTAACTAGTGTAATGTGTCTAGTCCTTTCTTTGGTGCAGACTAAATTCTAATATCATCAAATCAATGTGCACCGTGTTGACGAGCTACCTAGAATGGTGGACACATTGCAAACCGGACTGGTAGAATGCAGTCTGCACCACCGAACAAAGGACTAGACACATCACACTAGTTACTAGTGTCCAATCAAAATATCCATAACAGTCCTACAGGAGGTCAATCGCGAGCCCGAATAACTCAGTGGTAACACTGTCTCTGACTGCAAGCAACACTAGGTGACGCGGATTCGAATCTCAGAAGGGACATGAGTTCCTTCGAGGTTTCAGATATATCTGCCTTGCTGACTGACTGGTGAGTGTCAACTAGCACGAAACCTAAGTCAAGGAAGGCTTCCTGTCGACTGCCTCCAACCATCTAATATCATCAAAGTCATACAGCCATATTTACTGATGACATTCCAAGCACAATTTATTGCACATATGATATGATTATGACTTTATCAAAATAAAGTGTTATCCATAATGGAATCTTTCTTGTTGTTGTTATTTTCCCTCTTCCCGTTATCTTCAATGTGTAGATTTCATGTCATGAATTAACATCAATTTAGCCGGGGGTGAGGGGGGTCATTGAAAACCACTACCAGAGGGAGTAGTGGATAGCCAGCCAACCGTTTTGTCTCCCAGTTTTGAATTCACTGCGCACCTACGATCTTACCACTGCACGGATCGAAGTATCCACTTCTCACCTTAACCCCAGTGCTGTCATAACTTTTCAGTACAGCTTCAGTCTATCCATCGAATATTTGTGACCAGTGTGGAAGCGGGGCGGGGGGGGTGTCCATCATGTCAAGGTGAAGTGAATACTAACTATTAGAAGGCCATTCATTGGCTAAGGATAGGACTATATCACGAATTGGCAAAATTTACAACTCATGGATCATTAAATTCCAGTCCAAATGGTTTAATTATCAACGAGCTACGGCATCTCGTAATCTAAAGGTTCCAGATTCGACCTGTACTGGTAAGATCGTGGGTGTGTGCCATTGAAGAGTCCAAAACCAAGGCGAAACGGCTGTTTTCCAGTGTTCTCTGTGATTACCACTGATCTCTTTAACTAGTCGGATATTGATTCGTGATGAAATCTACATGGGAATTAATCCGAATCCCTAGAAGAATCAATAATTTAAATAATTATTGTTTTTTCTATGTATTGAAAGAGATATGAAATAGTAGAGAATTAGTGATATGGTGTAGAGTCTATCTATTGTCTATTATTATATTATTATTATTGTAACGACAGAAGACAAGGGCCAGGCAACAGATCCTTTATTGAGAAAATCAACACATATTTATAGATTTTTATGTACATTATTATTAGCGTTATTGTTAGCAGAGAAGCAACGTCTTCTGATTGGTTGTTTTCCTGTTGAAGGTTATTCTGTCATTTTTTTGTTGCCGTTTCTTAGACAGTCC